GCGTATCCTGCGGCCTGCATCTCCCTTCACTGGACTGACCGACACTCCCACTTCTTCTGGCTCCACTTCTTCAAAATAGACTCGCCCAGGCCGAAAACTGACTTCTGCACATGGGCCACGAAGTTTCAATCGCACTGTACGTGTGCACTCGCACGTGGGGTTTTGTGGAAGAGCCACACTCAAGGGGCCAAAGAGCCACATGTGGCTCCCGAGCCGCAGTTTGCCGACCACTGTTCTAGGTAATTATCCTACAGCCCAGGCAAATCAGGCCTCCCTTCTTTTCCATGCTTATATTCTATCTCTTACTACGGTAGCTCCTTCCTCCCTCCCAGTCACAGGTCCTATCACTCTACCCACCCAACTAATCGCACAAGCCCCTATATGCTTTACTAGGTCACAGGGCAGTATAACAATAGGCCATCTCCCATCATCACCTTGCAACACCACAGTTAACCTAGAACTACCAAACGGCCATTGGTTGACTACCAGGTTTCCCCGGAAGCCAATGGTTATTTCCTACAGCCGGACTATTTTACTTCTTATCCAACCATCCAGGCCTCAGGCTTCAACAGCTCCTTCCCTTCCCTTTTGCTTTTCCTTGGATAACAGCCCATTCTCGCATTCCTGCTACTTTCACTGCAATAGGCTCTCAACCAGTCATCTGTCACTCCTTATTGGTAATGCCCTGGCGACTAACCTCTCGGCTTGGAGCTCAGAACCGGGAAAAGGAAAGAAACCTTATACCCTTTAGTCCACTTCTCTCTATACCTTTCACCCTGTCTCCATGATCAGGGATTTTTCTTCCTCTGTGGGGAAAACACACACATACATCTGCCTCCTGATCCAACTGGACAGGAACCTGTACTCTCATCTATCTCTCACCCAATGTAGATGTGGCCCCCAATAATCAGTCTTTACCTGTCCCGGTAGCCCATCATATCCGACACAACAGGGCAGCCCAGATAACCCCTCGCCTCCTAACCCTCGGCATCACAGCAGGGCTGGAACTGCCATAAGAAGCTTAACCACTGCTCTACCTATTTTGAAATCCTGTCTCAGGATCTACCAGAAAGCTGTGGATGCACAGCAAGGGGCAAAACTGGGAAAGCAAGAACCTGGCCCCCAGGGTAACCTATCCACCCTTTCATATCACGAGTCAGGCAACTTAGACCCCTGAGCTTTCCCTCCCTAAAGATAACGTTTAGGCCTGAGGTGTATTTCAGCTCCAGGCCCAGAAAAGCAGCCAAACCAGACAAGTGACACTGTGGCAGCCTCAGGACAGCATTTACCTCCCAAGTCACTCAACAGGACCGTTTTTGAGCCTGCACCAACCAGTCTCTCAGGGAAATCATGCTGCTGCTATCCCTCTTCCGGTCCACCACTATCAAAGTCCATTCCCTGTGATCTCAACGTCCCCCCTCCTCAGCAGGAAGTCAGTACAGAAGATAGGACCTTCCTCCCTATTCCATAAAACAAAAAGGCTGGAATGTTAGGTCTGATCAAATAATTGAATGGATACCCTCTCCCCTGGTTACTGACCTTTAGGCCACTTCACAATGGACATTCCACTTGCTTAGACCACATTCCACTTGCTAAGACCATTATCTCTC